GATTTCAAATTGAATAAAAAATGTCCCAAAGTATTTAGTATTGCAGATGAATGCTCCATAGTTAAAAAAATCGAGACGATGTTATCTTTTCTCTATGTCACATAACAGAGGGTACTAAAGTGAAACTCTTAGAAACTTTGGGGTATTTAAGTGACATCATTCAAAAACTCTGGGGCATTTATATGTAACATTGGGTAAACAAGAAGGCACTAACGTGCAACATTTTGAAACTTTGGGCCTTTATATGCAAAGCTTAAATACTTAAAGGTATTTTTTTTCAGTTTGAAAAAAAGAGGTCACTTAAGTGCAGAGCCAGGTAATTGTAGGGCATTTAAGTGCAATTAAGCCCACATTCTTAACCACATAATATTGTTGTCCTTAGAGCTCTCTACCTATTCATTCAACTTCGTGATTATTTTATTATCACATAAGGCTACAGAAGTACACAAATTTTACTGGTCGCACTTTGATCCGACGAATCACATCTTCTTCAATCTAACCATCTCAACAAATAATGATCCTAAATAGCAAAGGCTGTTGCTTCAAGGTATTTTTATTTTACCGGCAGCCTGTACTGTATGATCATCCTTCTCACAAATTTTGCTAAAAATCTTATTTTCATATATTTTGTTGCTTTCTACTAATTCTAATTTCATATATTCAAGAGAATCTTGCCACCTTTCTATTTTGAAAATTATATCTTCTTTAGTCCTATTAACTTACTCTATATCATTTGCAAACTATATGCACCAAAAGGGCTTTATTATGAGTATGTCTTGTAAGTTCGTTCATAAGGACCATAACTAATATAGACTTAAACCTAATCCCTATAGATGCATATAGTTATAGGAAATAAATTTCTCTTGTCCAGTTTTTCTCACTCTAGTTGTTTCCTTCTTTTCTGATCACTTGAGTGTATCTGTTAGATACCTGTTCCATTTCTTTATTCTTTGAAAGCATGCCTTGAATTGAATTGTCTGACTTGTTTATGGGCATGATTTGCTTTTTTGTAAACTTTAATTCACGTAACTTCAATATGAAACCAACCTGACATGCTGCTCTAATTCAAGAACCAAACATAATTTTTTTGGAATTAATTGAAGCATGTCTTACCGGTTATGATGAGCAGCAAGAATTTCAATGCATTTTCTTTAAATTCGAAAATGTGTTTCTGCATTTAAGCATCAGGCTTTAAGGAACTTGTTGGTTGCCACTTTATTAGACTCATTCTTCCATGCATCTATTTATCATGACTCATGAACTTTTATTGATCTTAATTTTTGATTAGGATCATATGTTCCTACATTATACAACTTGATGATTAGAGTTCCGGTTGAATAACTGAGTTTAAGCTTATGATAATTTTCCTTGTTATCATTTTGCTTTTGTTCAAACGAGGATTCAATGAATTTAAATGTAGGTGCAAACTCAGCATGTGTCAAGGCTTGTGTTGTACTCATAATATGCACATGCGAGAATTAGGGAATACTCATTTTTGGACCATTTTGTTATACAGAAATTATATATATTTTTTGTTAGTGTTACTTTTGTATGCAAAATGATATCGTTTTACAATCATTCAACTGATGTGTTTAAATATTAGTTTTTTTCATAACTGCAAGCCTACATTTATGATCTACTTGATTGTTCTTGATGATATTTCATGTCCTGGAAGATTGCAACTGATGTTTGCTTATTAGGCTTTATGAATCTGTAGATGACACTTTCGAGGTGTTTAAGAATGCTTTAAGAACTTTATAATACTATCTAAACCTATTATAGAAACTTTCGTGAGGGTTTGATTTGGTACGATACGGGTAATCTGGGGGCTGGAGCAAGTTTCGAAATGTCAGTTTCTTAGTTTTATTATGTTGCTTGATATGCATCGCTGTACACAACAAATTGATTTCGGATTTGGATGGTGGTTGTTTAACATGGTCACTTGTTCATTCTCAGGAATAGATGCAACCCTGTTTCCTCACTCGATTAAAGCTTATTGACCTTGATTGGTGCTTCCATGGGATCAGGCATTCTTGCTTATCAAGTTCTCCTTTTTCTTCACAAACAAAAGCTTCCAACTAAAGTTTGAATCAGGAGGAAACCTTTTGAATAGTAGAAAGACGTTGAAGAATCAAAATGGTAGTCTCATGAATGCAAATAAACTCATATACTGCTCACAATAATATCTTAAAAGAGGTTACTTAATACTTCCATGCTCACAATTATCAAAGATATCCTATACAGAGCTTACCCGAGAAAGCCAAACGACATGTATAGTCTCAATTTATTCTCTCATATAAGAAGTTGTTTCGTGTTCATTATCCTCACCATGTTTCTTATATGTAATGAATTATGTCTGCTGATTGTAATTTGTTTGCAGTCATCGAGGCCAGAGTATAACCAGATCTTGGTGAAGAAGCCCGAAGGCCATGACTTCTGGTCATAATAGATTTTACGAAGTGCTCATTGTTCCCCCTTTGGCCATCAAAGTACAAGAATTTGATGCTCCTCCAACCTGAAGTTTCTGCGTGTAATATTAAAGTTTCTTATTGTTATCGAGGTTCCAAACTTGTATATCTGTATCTTCTAGTGTGGGAATGGTGACGTTGTAGTTTCAGTTGTTTCTCTTAATATCCTGTGTCTTTGCTTCTTGAGTTGGTTTCTGAAGAAGTGTCGTGAATCAGAGCTTTTGAGGATAGTTAGTGGGTCTGAGAATTGATTATTAGGGAGCGGAAATACAATCTCTTAAATCTATTTGGTATTATTGACAATAGGACCAATTTTGTTCATTATTTCTGGTAAATTTTGTTCTTTTCCCTCTATTTCTTTTCCTCTTCATCCATTTTACATTTTACATTTTACAGTTCTCCACATCCTCGGAGGAGGAGGGTAAAAAAGCTGTTTTCTACTTATTCTGAGAAAACTATCCTTTTTTCCTCCGAACTCTGAAACATATGACCTGAAGAAACACTGTTAATATGATAAACTACTTAGAACTCATTAGTTCTATCCATTGCTTACTACGTAAGCATTCGTTATCTTTGCCTATTGGTCTTGAATCTTTTCAGAAGCTTTTAAGTTATTCTTCTTTTGAATCTTGAGCTGGTTACAGTAATGAACTGCCGTATCCATCGTGTTGCGCAGAAGGAAAAAGAAGAATAGAAATATATAACTACAAATAGACTGGTATAAAAGCTAATCTCTTTCAACAATAATAGTACAGAAATATGTGTAATGAAATCTTCGACGAAAAAAGGTAATATCTGATTATTGGCAAGGGTGGAGTGAAATAGACCGTTGCTTCACCACCAAGTCAGCATTACATACTCTCTTGCCCTGTTTAGCAACTTGATAAAAGGAAAACACTAGAGGCACACCTTGTGCCACACCTTGAGGCACACCTCCCTCTCTCAGCTACAATATAGGGGGTCCACTTGAGATTTTTAAATAAATCTCAAATGAGCCCCCTGCACTGTAGCTGAGAGAGGGGTGTGCCCCAAGGTGTGGCACAAGGTGTGCCTCTAGTGGTAGGCCTTACATCCGGGCCGGCCCGGACTCCGCCCGGCCCTGAATCCGGGCCCCGGGCCGGGCAAAACCGGAGCCCGGACCCGGGTACCCCGGGCCGGGTCCGGGCCCGGGCCCGGGCCCAGAGCCGGGCCGGGCTCCGGTCGTCCCGGTTTTTTCAATTTTTTCTCCTTTTCTTTTCTTTTTGATAAAAAATGCTAAAAATTAGTTTAAATTTATTATATTTATATAATTATGTATTAGTATATACTTATAAATTATTATGTAACTATATATTATATATATTATATATACATATATATATGTAAATATATATATATATATATTTATAATCTATAAACTTAAGAGAAGAAAATCGCATAAGTAGCCATTGTTCCGTTGGGCAATGGGGAAGAAGTAGCCGTTGAATAATACTATCTTATATACAGAGAGAGAGTATACACAACACATATTATGACATATATAAGAAGGAGTATACTTATATATGAGGGAGTATACATATTAGTAAGAGAGAGTATACCTTTATAAGAGGAGCTATACATATTATATACATATATAATAAGAGTGTATACCTATATATATTATAATAAGAAAGAGTATACATATATAAGAGAGAGTATATTAGTATTATAAATATATAATAAGAGAGAGAGTATACACACACCCATATTATACATATATAAGAGAGAGTATACTTATATATACATATATATTAAGAGAGAGAGTATATATATATACACACATAATATATACATATATAAGAGAGTGTATACTTATATATACTTATAAAAGAGAGACTATACATATATAAGAGAGTATACTTATATATACATATATACTGAGAGAGAGAGTATACACACACACACACACACACACACATATTATACATATATAAGAGAGAGTATACTTATATATACATATATACTAAGAGAGAGTATATATATACACACACATATATTATACCATATATAAGAGAGTGTATACCTATATATCCTTATATAAGAGAGGTATACATATATAGAGAAGAGTATACTTATATATACATGTATAGTAAAAGAAAGATATATACATACATACATACATACATTATACATATATAAGAGAGTATAATATACACACACATATTATACATATAGAAAGAATATATTATAGTATACATATATTATATATATTATATACCATATATATATACATATATAAAAATATTATATATTATATATATAATATACATATATAAATACTATATAGATACATATAAAAAATAAAAAAATAAAAAAATACTATTCGCGGGCCGGGCACGGGCGGGCCGGGCACCAAAAAAGCTGGCCACGGGCCGGCCCGGAGCCGCGGATTGGCCCGGGTTCAGGGCCGAGGCGGGCACGGGCCACGGCCCGACCGGGCCCGGGCCGGGCTCCGGGCTGGGCCCGGGCCGGCGGACTTTTTGGACACCCCTATCTAGTGCTACCCTTGATAAAATTAGGCCAGCCCAGTTCTATCTTTTAATCAGGTAGGAAGTAGCTCAAGTTTAGGCTGATCAAGAGATTGAAAACCGAATTAAAATAAGTTGGCCCAGCTCTGACGTAACTTTTTCCAAACACAAAACTATATAACAACTAAACCAAATTTGAACTAGGTCCAGTTTTAATGATTTGTCAAACATGCCCTTCGAATAGTTGTTAAGCTACAACTCTATCAAGCTGCCGAATTGGGAAGGTTAGAGTTTCTCCCTTTCAGTTGATGCGTATGCGTCCATAACTTTCGAGCAAAAAACTACTAGTATTGCCTTCATGATACTTGATTAGACATTTATCATCGACCTTAAGGATAAAGTTCAATCTCCATCGAGGCTAGTGATTACAATTAAAGAGGGCCTATCATTTTGCAATAATGCCCTCAGTCTTTCCGTGGCAACCTCAGAAGCTTCTATTTTTTATGCACACTGATCCTTATTTTTTATGCACACTAATCTCCAACGAAGAAGGAACAGAAAAATTAAGGAACCTGGTAATATTTAATGCTGACGTTCTAGCTGCATCTCTTAACCTCAAACTAAACAGCTAAATATAAATAATTTGGTTCTACATGTATAAATTAGAATGTAAAATCAAAATATCCAAACCAAGGATAAGCAGGCAACTACATGAGAATATGTGTCCTTTCAACATAGAATTGTTATGCATCATTATACATGTACAACACGTAAATGTGCTACAAAAGATATTAAGTACGCACTACTTCAGCTTAAGCACTTGTACTAGCTATTCGTTACCGGGATCTATCATCCCCTGCCTCTAACTTGATCACTACTCGCAGATGGATGTAGAAATAATAGGCGTGAGCATAAGGCTCAATAAGCAACTATAATGAAGAAACCAGGGACAACTATAAGGGGAAAAGGGAATGGTCGTGTAGACAATCGAAATTGAAACTAATAGACATCAACAATAAGCTATCAATGCTCATAATATAATCAACGATGCAAATGAAACTTATGATTATCGATAATAAGTTATCAAGCTCAATATTTAGGATTCTAGATTCCCCATTCATGGGATATATCAATAAGCCATATTGTAGACGGATAAAATATACTCTCCCTCTTGGGCCAATGTTAAATCCAAATCCAAGAAGTGAAAGCCTATAATCTAGACAATTCATAAGGGTTCAAATACAAGTCCATGTCGAAACGCACTTGAACCATGATGAAGCTCGCTCAAGTCTCGTGCGAACTTCACTTAAAAGATCTATATGGGCCACGTCATTCTCGCCTTATGGGCAGTGGACTGCCCATGTTCTAGCGAAGCTCACTAGAATGACTTTGCCTATGACTACTCAGTGAGCTTCGCCCCTGAGCATTACTGGTGAGGTCTCTCTCTCTCTCTCTCTCTCTCTCTCTCTCTCTCTCTGTGTGTGTGTGTGTGCGCGCGCGCGCGCGCGCGCGCCTATAAGAGGAGGGGATGTTGCTCATTTTTAGGCACCTAAAAACTTGGTAATTTACACACTTGGAAGAACTTGGCGAGTTAGCAACTCGGAATAGCTACCCACTTGAAGACCTCAGCATCTTCAAAAAGAGCCTCGGTAATCTTCAATTAATAGAAGACCCAACGCTTTAGTCGGAAAGTCAATGGCGTACAAGATCGAGGTTCCATCGGCATACGGAAAAGAACTAAGAAATTATAAATTTTTCTTGCTTTATTTGTAATTCTTTGAATTTGTAATTTGCATTAATTATAATTCAAAGACTCAAAATACACATATGCCCTTATTTGTACACCCATCGATGAGCGTCCTCACACAGGGCACTTGGTCCCCATGGGACATAATGATATATCATTCCATGAATCATAAAGCATCATTCAAGCCACTAAATCAATAAGTTCGACTAATCAAGGCAATAGTGTAATCGATGCAAAAACAACTTATCACATCTTAAACAATGGTCGAATTTCAAAGGCATAGTATTGAATTGATTAAGCAATGAAATATTGATGGACAAGCAATCGACAATCATTTCCATGCATAAAGTGTTGGATTTAATCTAATAAATCTATTTGTGGGCACATATGATTAATCAATGTGTATTGCTATCTTTCAGGATAACCCACTAAAGTGATCAATTAAGTTGGGTTAATGGGTATTTAAATATAATCATGGGGTTATATGTGCAGATACCAGGTTGTAATTGTGATTTATTGAGGGGCTAAATTACAAAAGTACAACATCTATAAATAAGGGGTTATGGTCCCTAATCTAGGGTTACTACATTCTCTAATTCTCTTCACCCCCATCTAAGAGAGAAATTCGGCTAAAGAGAAAACCCTAAGGTTAGAAGATCCAAAACCCAAAATCAAGATCAAGCAATGGATTCAGGTATAAGCTTCCGCTCTTTTAGATTTTTGTTAATCTCTTTGAATTAATCATGGCTATATGGTTTTAGATCTCAAGTTTTATGATGTAGATCTATCAAGTGGTATCAGAGCCACCTTGATTAATTCTTAGGGATTTAAGTTTTATTGGGTTTTTGATCTTAAATCTCTGGTTAAAGATTCAATTTTTTGGATTTTTCTTTGATTTTTTCTTCAATTTTTTCCAATTCTGGATCTGTTTTGAAAATAAAAATCAAAGTTTTTTGGGTTTGTCGGCGGCGGTTTCAGTTTGAAACCCTAAGGGTTTAGGGCGAAAATTGAGGAGGTGGTTACCTTTAACGAACTTTGCGTTCGTTCTCAGGTCGAACATTGCGTTCGTACTAAGGTTGAACTCTGCGTTCATTTTTTAACG